GACTGTAAAGGCTATAAAAAAAGAAAAAAGACTCTTAGTACTTTGCTTTATTAAAATAATAACTAGTCTCTTACATTATAATAAATATATAAACTTTTTCTTTGCTATATTAACTAATTGAAAATTCTTAGACATAAAAACCTGCTTCTTATAGTTATCTGTTCTATTCTGTAATATAGTAAAAACCTATTCAGCTATTGTATCCTAAAGTACCAAAATCAGCCATAGATATATTATTCCAACTATCTAAAGAAGTATAATAGTTGAGGTTATATGTGTTGTCCAATAACCTAAAATAGTAAGGTAACTAAGAAATAGTATTAGTAAGTGCAAGAGAAAGAAAACCACAATACAAGGAAAGAAGAAATACTTACTTATAGACCCAAACCACTAACCAAATCTAAATGCCTCTTTTTGACTAAGCCAATCATAGGTTACATAAAGTTTTGAATTGTGGAGTAACTGCCTCATCATAATGCCTGATTTCAATATAAATAAAAATATATGTAAAATGGTATACAAATAAATTTTAATTAGGATTAGTTAAATATATTAATGTAGGTCAGATATTATATTTATGTTATCCAAATAATCTTATTTCAGGTTTATATCAAAAATCATGCACATGCCCATCTCTAGTAACTGTATAGATTTCTTCTGTTTCTGGTTTGCATGACAATGTTGTGCAGCTATTTATAGGTAATATTTCTAATAAATTATAATTTACATAAAAGGTTATTAAAAAAAATATATATATAAATTTAATTAAAAGATGTTTAAATATAACTCAGTTTAAAAAAAATTTAATATCTATTAAGTGATAAAACTATAATGTGCACAATATATAATATTTCTATCTAAATTAAAATGACAATAATGGTAAACAAATATACTATTGATTTGTTTTGATCATAAATATAAAAAATGTATTAAAATTGACTAAGAATCTACTTCTAAAACCAGTTAGTACATGCTGTTAACAGTAAAATATAAGCTTGAAAGCATGCAAAGATAGCAATAAACCTAAACATTTGATTCAAATTCAACTGACTCCAAGTTATCAAATAATGGTCAGATCATTTGGGTTATTAATATCATTTATGTTATTTATATAGAGAATAATTTTATTGGTCAAATTTCATATAAAAATTATTTATCTTCTAAGTCATTTGAGTTTCAAAATGACCTAATAACTAATTATTTGTCATTTGATAGGTCATTTGGATCATCTTAAGTTGGGATAATAGTAACTGATATAATGCAGAAATGGTTATATAAATATAAAGTGAGTTTTTAGACTTATATTATTAACATTAAGAGTTTTACACATTTTTGATCATAACTTTGCTGTACCAAATACATTTGAATGAAACATTACCATTAGATTTAGCTCATCGAGATGATTCTAATGAGCATAAGATTATATGATTCTGATTATAGGATCACAAGATCAGAATGATTATAATAAAAAGCATTAATTGTAATACATATGTTTTAATTCTTATTAGCTCAAATTACTGTACTAGAAATCTAGCATTTCTATCATTTCTAGTAGATCTATTATTTCTATCATATCTATCATTTCTATCAGATTTATTAGTTCTATCATATCTATCATTTCTATTATATCTACTATATCTATTATATATATTATATATATTATATCTATTAGTTCTTATTACATACTATAAATAGCATTTATTAGCAATAAAATAGTTTTTATTATAATTATTTATATATGTAAAATATCTATAAAAGCACTACTTTTTGACTCTTTAAGAAAGTTAAGTGTCTTCATACACTTCAATAAGAAGTGTCTCCATACACTTTAATAAGAAGTATCTCTATATATTTTAATAGAAAGTGTCTCTATACACTTTAATAGAAAGTGTCTTTATACATTTCAATAGTGAATAAACTGAATACAATATTTAGTATCTTCATATACTATCTATTGTTGCCTCTGTCTTAAAATCCCAAATCACTCTGTATTATATTAAGTCTTGTGTAGACTTTTGTATAGAATCTATCAAGTTATAGTTATCATACTATAGTTAAGTAGCTTCTGTTATTACTGTGATTAAAAGAAAAACTACAAATTAACAATGTATATTAGAAATAATTTAGTTACAGTACAAAGAGTTTAAATTGGCAATGCTTCTAGTTGGGTTGCAGATATAACAGCTAGTATAAAACCATTAGTGAATTACTTAAATTAGATACCAACAGTATACATATGACTAGTTATACTCTCTAAGATAAAGGTGACTTCTTTGAGGTCTTAACTATAAGTCTCTATATTTTAATTATTGAATAAAAAGCCTTAGCTCCAAAAGAGGCTAGTTTAATATATAAAAAAATATATTAAAACTAATATTATATATGACTTTAGTATAAATTTATAATAAGATCATTAAATATAGAAAACTAAAAAACTAAGAAGACAAAAGTCTACTTAAAAATTCTAAATAAAGTAGTAATACAAGCTTTTAATAATGTTATTAAACTAATAAAAGTTTGTAAAATAGTTTTAAAAAATAAACAGATAAATCAGATAACAGATATATAAAAAAAACATATGCACTAACTAGAATATTAAAATTACTAAATAAAAAAATATATAAGTAAATTATACTAGATTATTAAGATTAGTAGTTTAAAGAATTCTATTGGTTCTATTAGAAATAAGTACTAAAATTTAAATAAACTTTACAAATACATAGCAGTTTAATAATTAATTCTAATTGCAAATACTAGTCTAGACCAAAGTAATACTAGATTAACTAAAGTATAGAATAAAAAAGGTTCTAATAAATTTAATATAAAGTTAAATATTCTATAAATAAACTGTTTATGGTCATAATATATTTGCACTAGTATTAATTAAAGCAGTTAATAGAATAGATAAGTAGTAAATACAAGAACTAAAATGTTTAAATAAAAGATTCACAAATAGGTTTTAAATATAACAACTAATATAAAATCTTTACTTAAATTAGACAATAACTAATATTGTACAAATGACTAGTTTTATTTTTTTTATAATTGTTCTGTAGTGTTATACAAATAACTATTAGCTAAAACATACTATTAATAAAATTCTAAGTTACAATATTTATTTTAATATTAAAAAATAAATAAATAAAATATATATTTAAGAAACTAAACTAAAAATATACTAATAAAAAATATTTAAAAATTCATTTTATAACAATATAATTATTTTAAAAAAATTTTCAAATATTTCTTTAATTTTTCTAATATAATAAGTAAATTATAAAATTATTTTATATTAGCAAAAATGATTATAAAGCATTATTATATTAAAAAATTTATAATTTAAATTACAAAAAAATAACTTAAAATTACTAAGTACCAAGTAAATAGATATTTTTAGTTACTAAATATATTATAAACTTCTTAAGATTTAAAAAAAACATAGATAATTTTCTATCTTAAAAGTTAATATGAATTTAATATAATTAAAAACTTAAATTATAAAGTTTAATAAAATTAATTTAAAATTAATATTAATTTAGATTAATATTTTTTTAAAGATTAGAATGTCTTATTGCATTTTTCTAAATTATAAAGATTTATTAAATTTCTGATTTAAAAAAAAATTATTATATAAACTAATTTTAAAATTAAATTTAAAATTTGCATATATACATTATATAATATTTTTAAAACTTAAGTATAACTTTTACATGAAATTATTTTTAAACTGTTTCTAAACTTAAACTTTTATAAAACAAAACCAAACAAGACTAAATTAAACTTTTAACATCTCTAGAAAAAGATCAAATATATTTTCTTAAATATATTTAATATTTTTTTAAAGCTATTTTATTTATTATACTAAAATAAAATAAAATCTAAAAATCTATAATTATTGTATTATCAATATTTGTTATAAAACATTTATTAAACCTATAGAGTTTTAAAATCTTTAAAGATTTTAAATAGTTTAATTCTTTGTAATTAACTGTTTTTATATATATAATATGTAAAAAGTTCTTTATACTATGTTTTAAACATTATATAAATAACTTAACAAAATGTTTTATCTTTTAAATAAAATATCTCTAAGTTGAGAATCTTTTTGAAAATATTATATTCTTTAAAAGTACTCTAAACTAGTATTGGTATAAGACAATTGTAAACATGGTTTGAACATTCTTAAACAAATAAATAAATTAAAATTGCTCAAAATTTTATTATATTAATCTATTTAATTTTCTAAATAAAAATATTTAGCATTATAAAAAATATATAATCATATGAAAATAAGTCAATAAAAAAATACAAATTTTTTTAAGTAAAAGTTTTTTTGACTTTAAGCTTAAATATCTTAACAATTATTTTATTAAATTTTATAAATTCTTTTTATTTTAATTTTATATAATTTCAAGATTAAAATAAAAAAATTTTTGGGAAATTCTATTTTGACCTGGGTAAATAACCCCCTACAATTTAGGGTTAGTGCGGCCGTTAATGTCAGCCGGATTTTTACATTTAAAAACCTCGGCCGGCATCAAAATAATTTCGGTCCACGCTAACTCTAAATTTTGAAGAGGTCATTTTGACCCGGGTCAAAATAGAATTTCCCAAAATTTTTTAGCAAATTTGATTAAATAGTTGTTGAGTTATTTAAATTTAAAAATTAAAAAAATTTCACTAAAAATAATTTGTCCCTTCTCTATTGACTCTCCATATATCGATATTTTTTTAAATTACTATACGTATTAATTTTGAAAATTGCATATGCTGTGGACATTTGGACATTAAAAAAAGTCTTGGACATAATAGACGTGACTAAACTGTATAAATACAATTGTATGTGATTGACCAATCAGAAGAAAGTTAGCCTATAAAGGTACCCGTTGGTTTTGATCCGAAAATCTAAAACCCGGATTCCCGGATCAGTCGAAATTCGAAATTTATTTGATAGTAATAGTATTTCTGCCGCGACTAGTCAGTTCGCTATCAACTGTATCATGGCTGAAATTCAGTCCCTAACGGTCCTTATCAGACGCTTGGAAGCGGCTACTTCCCGCCTCGAAGATCTGGCCACCTCTGGCACTTCTGCTGCTGCCGTTGCGGGTAGCCTTGGGCGTGACTCAAATGGGAATCAACCTACCGAGCCTTCTAATATACTTCCTGGTAATGGCACGGCTGCCGAAACAAAATTTTCCGTCTCTCTTGACGCTTATGATGAATTAATCAAGGGTCCTTTAAATAATTTTATTGAGCTTTCTAAAAGTATTGGTGGCATTGTACAAGATCAGGTATGATTCTTTTATCAGCATTTCATTACTAAACTGTAATTAGAATTTGTTTTAAAGTATATGTTCATGTGTTATTTACCAGGGTCATTCAGTTGAAGATATTTTTAAAGCCCAGCGCGACTTCATATACATTTCTACACAGAGTACAAAGCCAAAAACTCCCGAAACATTGGTTGAATTATTAAGACCAACTCAACAAGCTGTTGAAAAAGTTTGCGCATATACAGAAAATAACCGTATTTCACCATTCTTTAATCACTTAATAACTGTGAGTGAAGGTATTGGTGTGTTTTTTTGGGTCACATTGGAAGAAACCGCTGAAATGGAGGAAAAATTGTTGTCCACGGTTAAAGGGTATATAGAAAGTTCTCAATACTATGCTAATCGTGTAATTATGGAGTTCAAAGACAAGTATGTAAAATTTGCCTTTGATATACATCATAAACTATATCAAACCTATTTTTGACATATTTTTTAAATATCTTTGTAGGGATCGTTCTCATGTTGAGTGGGCCAACAGCTATATTCTTCTTCTGACAGGAATTCATCAGTATATTACCAAATTTCATACCCATGGACTCGTCTGGAATCCAAAGGTTGTTATGCGTTTTGCAAACTTTTCGTTAGAGTCATGTATTTGAAATTCGGCTTAATAAAAACCACTATTATATTAGGGTGCCAAACCAGAGACATTCATAGGCAGAAAACCTGTTGGGTCTAAATCAACGTCTGCATCAACACCATCAAGTGTTTCTGGTGCGCCACCACCGCCGCCACCACCACCTCCTCCTCCACAAATTTTGGCTGATGATATTCCCACCAATAAAGGTCCAACCGATATGAGTGCTGTATTTAAAGACATTAATCGTGGAGAGGATATCACATCCAGCTTGAAGAAAGTTGATAGAAGTCAAATGACCCACAAAAATCCTAACTTACGGGCTGGTAGTACTGTGTCTTTTACTAGTGGTATAATAACTTTAAGTCATCAAATTTTCATGTATCGTTATTCTTTTAAAATAATTACTATATTCTATACGTACATATATTTTTTTTTGTTTTTCAATTCTTAAACAAGCCCAAAAAAAGGGTCCTACTGCTCCCCCAAAGCCTGCATCATTATCTCTTAAAAAACCTCCTAAAAAGGAATTTGATAATAATAAATGGATTATCGTAAGTCTAGTTAGAATTTTTTTGTTTTTTTGTTCTTTATAACGATAATATGAATATTTTCACATAAGTTTTTCTTTAGGAAAATTATGAAAACGACAATAATATTGTGATTGAGGAAACTGCAATAAATCATACAATCTATATATTTGGATGCAAGAACTCGACAATAAGTGTCAAGGGCAAAATTAAAGCTGTTACTCTTGGCAAGTTCACATGCGTCTTACCGTATAATCGCGTAATAACGCCTATGAACGTTATTCTTAATATTGGTCTGAATTAAGCCAAAATTCGAAATTACACTCCTGCTCGTTATTACGCGATTATACTATATCATATTTCATTTCTCCGAAGATTAGATATTTATTCTTTTTGTACGTACAGATTCATGCCAAAGAACTGACCTTCTTGTAGATACTGCAGTTGCAACAGTTGATATAGTGAATTGTAAATCTTTTCAACTTCAGATTCAGGGCAAAGTACCAGTAATTGCTGTAGACAAGACCGATAGCGGCCAAATCTATTTATCTGAGGAATGTCTCAATGTTGAAGTTTTTACTGCAAAAAGTTCCTCTATTAATATTCAAATGCCGACCTATGATGGAGAATTCGAAGAAAAACCCATTCCAGAGCAGTTGAAGAGTACTATAGTTGATAGAAAGCTTGTTTTTACCCCTGTTGAACATGCAGGATAATAAATATCATTATATCTCAGAATTGTTATTTTATACAATATAATATGTAAACAGATTAAATTATAGGTGTTATTGATATTTATCAGACATAAATTCAAATCAATGATTTGAAAGTCATAACTAATAAAAAATATTTATTCTGTGTCAGTGACATGTTTGAAGTATTTATTTTATTTTTTTTAATTATTCTTAGGGCACTGAAATTTATTTTATCCGACAAACTCATATGATCATGACGCAGTTTTTGCACGTTATTTTTTAATGTTATGACGTAATGCCAAATATTCGAATTTTACACAATTTTTGGGTCAATGTTATTCGACTCAAAATCAATATTCGAGTCAAAATTACTTGAAATTTTTATTATTTAAAAAACAGCACAATTTACAAAGGCAAACAAACAAATTTTATTATAAAATATCAACTAAATACATTTAATTTTAAAAATTAAAAATGCAATTATGAAAAGTATTTCCTAAAAGAAATTTTTCAAGAAATTCAAGATTTTTAAATTCTTTTTACCACCTCTAACCTTTTCTTTTTGATTATTCTTTTTTGCACTCTTGTCCTTTTCTCTTTCATCATCTGTATCATGAATGTTCTGATTATGTTCAGTTAAAACATTGTTTGATCCATTAGAAAATACTTCAAGATCATCAAATGCATTTACCAATAAAGCCTAGGAGTCATTATGTCAAAGGTACGAACTTGCAAAAACAAAATCACCAGATACTGGTACTATTTTTCATTGACCTTTAGGGGTTTCATTATCATCAGAGGTACTGTGTTCATTATAATTATCAGAGGTGGCATTGTCATTATAGTCAATAGGTATGGCATTGTTATTATAATTGTCAGGAGCTTATAAAAAAAAAAAAATTAGCTAAATGTTCAAAGTCATAATAAAGCATAATATATGAATTTTATTTTTTGAAACTTGTTTTAGCATATTGAAAAATCCATTAAGGCCTTTGTGTTGCATTACTGATTTTGGTTGTTCATATGCAGCAAGACCTTTTTGGAACTTGTGTCTAGTAATCGATATCACAACAGAATTAGAGTATTCAAGCTCTTTTAACAACTGCATAGCAGTTTTTTTTCCCAAATGATTTGATATATTACGAGATCCAATTTGAATACCTGTGGTTTCACATATGACTCTGAAATATTTTTTCAACTTTTGCTTATTCAGAGCATATGTATAATACTATTGTCCACAGAATTCTACTAAAAAATCTAAAAAAAAATTAGTAAATCGACATTTATAAACATCAATCACATACAAAAAACTTTACCTGAATTCAATAACATTGGCTTTAGATAAAAATTCATTACAGTTATTACCAGGCACTTTGTAAAGTAAAATTCATAGTTATTAAGAATGTTTTTAATCTTAGGTAAGCTGATAACCTCAGCTTGTGCATCATGATTATCAAGCCCTCATTAATTGGTTTTAGATATATACAATTTGACATCAATTCTACTATCAACCTTTTTAAAAAAATTATTAATTTGCAGGGTATAATGTTTACTACTACATAACGCTAACAGCGTTGCATTATAAAAAAAAATTCATTGTAACAGGCTCTTCAGCATATTACGCTACATTGTGGAGTGGTCCAAGATTTGCTCAACCTTACTTAATGTCAACCCATCAGCTCCAACATGTTCACCAAGGCCTTTTGTAGAAAGGGTCTTCAATTTTCCATTAATTACAAATCGAAGTACACCTTTGGATTAAGTATATCCATGAGCTTTTCCATTACTGAATACTCATTGAGATATCTCCAGATTGTTGCCATACAGCTTCTTACAGATGTTGCGTAATAATTTCCACTGTTCTGTCTTGTCATCACACATACAAACTTCGATAATTGATTCTCCAAGACCATTTTTGAATTCACTTCTATGATTTTTTCTTTATACCCAACATCAGAATGAAACTTTTCTAGTGCCCAGATCCACATTTGTGTTGCCTTATGAGTTATCTGAACTTTTGCATTCTCTCAAATTTCCTTTAGTTCATGCACAAAGGGTTCTGTATATTTAACTCACTAATGAAACACTATATTAATATGTCTTTTTACTATAAAAAAATACGAAATAATAATTATTATTAATTACCTTGGCATTAACAACTTTTTCTCAGATTAATTTCATTTTTGTCATTGTTTTTATAGGTTTCAAGGGGCTTTACAGCTTTCGGTAGCTTTACTGTTATACTTTAGATTGGCTTTATGACTTCAGATAAGCTCTGCACTTCAAATAGGCTTTACAGACTTTACTGCTGCAGGTTCACAAACTTTAATGGTTGGCTTCAAAAAAGCTTTTGCAGTTTCAACTGGTTTTTACAGATAAATTGTAGCTTTGAATTTGTGATGAAACTTTAATTTTTGTGAAATTACAACATCAACTTTCAATTTCCATTATCTACTTTCAATCCCAACACCTTTCAATCACATCAACTTCGAACTCAACTTTCAATTGCCAGCAATACTTGAAAGAACATCAAGGTATTTAGAAAAGAAAAAAAAAAAATTTTTTTTCATCAAAGAAAAAAAGTTTCAATTTTTTTTATTATAGGAAAAAAAATCAATTTTTTTTACTGATTTACCATCTTTTTTTTAGGTCTAAAATTGTATTTATAATATGGTCAAATCGGGCCATGATCATAAATTGTCAGATAACATCATTATTGGGCAAATTACCATTATATAAAAATTTTTGCCTAATAATATATATGTCTATTGTATACTTAATTAATATATATGTCATACAGCTTATTGTGAATATCAAATATACAAATTATAATAAGATTCCAAAATGTGACTAAGTTATTAAAAGATTTGAAATAAATTTCAATTTTTTAATGTTTTTATTTGACTTGTTTAAAAAATTGCCACCTGGATCACCCCATCTTGGGAGACCGTTCCTATATTATCAATTCTACCAACTGGTTACCTAATTCTTGACCAGTTGTACCGGGTCAACTGATTAAGAATTTGCTCAATCGGTTATCCGACATTTATTTGGGTTAGGTCTGTTGACTGATTATAGCTCAATGTCAAGATAGGAATGTTCTGAGTATGCCCCAAGTTTGTAGATCATTACATGAATGATTCAATTAATTCAGAATTTTTTTTATATGTGTTACAGTACTTTTTTTGGAAGCTCAGATAAATTATCTCTTTTGTGAACCCAGCCAAGCATACTAAGTGGACTTGAAGCTTTTGTACAGGACTATAATAATATCAACTTAATCATTCTAAATCATTTGACTTTGATATTAAATTTGTTTAATAAAAAAATGATCAACTCTAAGTATTACATAAATTGTAGAACCATCAGGCAAACTATATTCTACTCTTTGAAAGACAAAAAGTAGGAGAAAGCTAAAAATAATAATTTAACTAAGGAAAATTGGGAGAAAGATAGTAGGTTATGTCATAATTGTTATATGAATTTTGTAGAAAATTCATTACAAAAATTACGAAGAGAAGCCAAACAGGTAAGAATCTCAGTTGAAGAAGTTGAAGCTACAACTAGAGAAAAAGTAGACATTACATATAAAAATGTAGGAACCTTAATGAAAGATATGAAGATCATGAACAAGGAGGCAAATATGATTGAGCTTGTTGGGATTGTTGAGATCATGACAAGAATTTTTTATGAAAGAGAACATATAAAGAAGAAAGGTCCTATTTATTCGTATAACAAATTGCAGGAGGTATTTTAAACAAATAAGAGTTTGGAAAATTTCTTCAATCAACTTTATTTAGTAGCTAGGCCACTTGAATGCATTGGCAAACCATGAATCATATGAAAAAATTAATTGTTCATATCTGCTATCTTCTTGCATCATTGAATAATACTAAAATTAATTCATTTAAGTTCGATATAGCATATTACTTAGATTCTGTAGGTATGAGTAATAAAGGTTTAGATACGATGCCAAAACTTGGTGTAACTACAACATCAAGAGCAGTAGATAAAAGAAAAAAAAAGGTTTCAGATACTTATGAAGAATACATCAGAAATTCTCTTTCAAAATTTTTCAGCAATGCTTTTGTGCTAAATGTTAATGATTATCACAACATTCATATGCCACAGCAGTCTGACTCTACTAGTACATCCTGTCTAGCACACATGGCAACTATAATAGCAAATCTGTGTTCCATATTAGCAATACCATGTAATAAAGCACTCAATCTGAAAATTTTTGATGATGAGCTGATAATAAAACATCTTGATGAATAGTTTATCATAAACCTTGGCATTCCTTATAATAAGTGTAAACTGGGCTGTACAGGTAAGTGTTCTGATAATGAGATTATAGAATAACTAATATTGCACACTTACAATGATAAATTAGTCGAAAAAAAAGGTAATCAGCATATCCAGAACATGATTCTCTTTGATTTCGTCGATGAAAATTTAAAAAATATAGAAGATTATACAAAGGCATTTCGAATTGTGCATAATCAAGAATTTATACAAGAGTACCTTTCCAATTACATAATTCCTGTTATTGCAGATTGGTTGGGTCAATTTTTATTCATAAGGCTATCATGCATTAGCTTTTCCTTAACAATAAAGTTGTTCCTCCATTTGTTATATCATTTGTGCCTATTATAGGCCCTCTTCATATGTCTTTGAATGATCATGAACTCATTTACAAGAATAATTCATTTCTCTTTAATGATATATACAAAGGAATTTTTGGTAAAAAAAAAATCTTGGTAAAAAATTGTGCCCCTGGAGAATAGATTTAATTCTTCATCTTATGCATGTGGCATGGCTCAATATATCTACTATTATTTATTTAAAATTCGACCATACTTGCAAAAATTTGGAATTTTTATATTTAACTGATCTTTTAGAAAATAAATTCCTTTAGTTCTCGATGTTTATGTGGCTCACTATTAAGAAGAAAATTGGCCAGCATATGAAGAAGTTTGTATGTATTGCTGGTGCAATCTATTTCTTCAATTTGATCAAAAAAATTATAAGCACTCGCTTTTGATGTTTTTTTCTAACATCTTTTTTTAGATAGATACTAATCATCTAATGATGAATATTGTTACTAATTATCTCACATCTCTAAGCGACTGTCTTGTAAAAACTGTTTATAGTATCATTTGATGACATATGGTCAAGTTTTTCATAGCAAATCAATTGCAGAAGGAGGCACGCTTTATATTTTAATATCAAGATGAAAATACCTTTTGTCAATATTTTGTGAGTTTCATAAAATATTTGTATAAACTGAAGCAATTGCATATACTATTCTGAAAGTGTGCTGTATTGCTTTTAGAAACTTTTACAAAGATCTATAAAGTATGTTTTCTGTATCCTTTTATTATTAATTCTGATGATGGTATTAACTTTTATAAACTACTATTATTAGACTATGAAATTACTGATCATTATCTTCCAAAAGATTTTATTACCTTTAGAAAGCTATTTATCAGTGTTTTATGTGACTATTTGTACTATGATTGTACTAACTATACTAACTGTTTGAATGATGGAAATGTTTTCACTTGTGGGCACAGATATTATAGTCATTGCTTACAAAGATATAATTTTAAGTGTCTAATATGTTTAGACTATCTTTGGGATGCAATCAAATGTAATGTTGAATCACTAAAAGTAAGTATAATGAAAGATTTAGGTGAAAATGAATTTATAAAGGAGAATGTTGAAAGTACAGATGATGATGATTCTGGTGCTAGAGATACAACAGACGATATAGCAGTGATGGATAATTTGTTAGAATAAGTGAAAAAAAATTTGTTAAATTATAATGTAGTTTTTTTTTTATTAATATTTTTTAAATAATAATTTAATAAATTTTTTTTTTTTTTTTTTTTTTAGCCTTAAGCAGTTACACTAGTACTTTATTAAAATTCTTGAAACTATCTATCTATACAATTATATAGAATTTTCCAACATCTAAGTCTAGCATCACTCAGCCACCCTAATGGTACCTAAATGCAACCTGCTATACTATCCTAGTTAAGAATAAACTGCTCGTCTAACTACTTAAAGCCATATCAGAAGAGTCTTCTCCCTTCTGTGACAAGCATATTTATTGTTTTCAAAGCTTCTTTCTTTATTTGGTCTGCCTTTTCTGCCTTTTGTTTTTTTACTTCTTCTTTAGCTTGTTTATCTTTCTTTATTTTCTTCTTTGGTTTATTTTTTGCACGAGCACCTTTTTTCATTTTGTTTGTTATATTGATCTTCTTCTTCTAAGCTTATATTTTTTTACATCACACTCTTCATACTTGGTCATAGAAAGTGTTTTATACTGTTCTTGTGACTATGTCTATGCACTTCTGTGTTGCCTGCTTACTTAGGAGTCACTCCAATATTTTCTCTACTTTTAGCATTATAAGTCCTTTTATTAGCACTTCTTTATTTGTAATTTTTTCTGCTTCTGTTTCTCCAAATAGTGTCTTATAAAGAACTTGTGATAGAATTCTGTTTTTCTCTTCTTTTTTGAGTCCATTCCATGCCATCGCTGTTGTGACTTTTTGGATTCATTTCTACAAACTCTTTTGTTCACTACAACTTGCTAGATGTGCTTAGGTCTCTTTTTCTCTGACTTGGCATACTTGACACTCTACTGTTGTGTATATTTCTGGTCTTCTTCTGTTTAGCTCCTCAAGTATTAATAGGCTATCCATTATGCACTTAATTGCCATAGCTCTTCTTGTGCTGAGTTTTCTTGACATATAATGAACTCCTTTTGTTCTGTTCATTTTTTTCCAAAAACTTGTCCAATTATGTAATGCATTTTCTGTCTTTGGTTCTAATGTCTGTATTGGGTTTGTCATTTTCTAACTAGCTCCTATTCTGACATTTGCTATTATTTTACACAGAAGTCTTGCTGATATGTCAATTTTCTTGTTTTCTTACTCTAAATGGTACTCTATCCCATCACATTTGACTTTATCTGCATATA